CCATTAAGAGTTTTTTTTTTTTTAACACACCTGTAATTAAATCAACCGCTGCACAGCTCACAGTTTCCTGCCTGCGTGGACAGTGAAAGGGCAACGTGATGTCCTCCCATACTCCCTCTTGTTGTCGACCTTGGTAGATTTCATTCCGTTTCTTTTACCTGTCCGTTTATTTTTAATTCAACATTTGATTTAATGGATACTTTTACTGATCATACTGTCTCTAGTCTATACAATCATGGGGCATAGTTTAATTTGAATGTGTTTTTTGTGTTTGTTCAATTATTTTATTGATGACAATCCCTCCAAACAATGACAGACATAATTGAACTTAGTTTGTCGTTATTTTTGAATTAAATTACATTTATTAATTTAAACTCGTTAGATATTCATAACTGATTCCATCAAGGGGAAATTAAACAAGACAAACATTAGGTGATCAAACATTACAACTCCTAAGATGAAGTTCTGCTGTGTACAGAACAGATGGACTCGGGGCCTGCCTCTGGGGTGTATTGGCGCCATTGAGTGTCGTCATCACACATTTGACTCCTTTCAGTGTGTAAATACACACATGGGTGTGTGATTGCTGTTCTACGACTACCACTATTACTACCGTTGTTCAATTTATTTCCATTGTTCATCCATATTTTAAAACACTTGTCCTCATTTAGGGTCATATGTGAGCTGGAGCACATTCGCAGATGATTTTCAACGTGGGGCCCAAGGTGGGATACATCCTGGTGATTGCAAGGCACATACAGTATAGGTAAACGCAAAGTCTTCACTTAACCTCACATGCATGTTTTGGGAATGTGGGAGGAATAATAATACTTTATTATAAGCGCCTTTCAAAACACCGAAGGACACCAAAGCACGCAGAGAACATGTTAACTTAACACAGGAAGGCCGGAGCTGAACCCACAACCTCAGAATGAGGGAGGCAGGCCTGCTAACCACTTTGGTGCTGCTTCTTATTTCAACCATGCATTCTTTCAGCCCTAAACAGGCTTGCATGACTCGATGATTTTATGGTGTATAATTCTGTCGCACAGCTTATGTAATAACGATGCAGTTACGGTATAAGAATTGAGCAATAGGATTGGAAAATGTGATGTGTGCACAAACCAAACTTTATCTTACTTCCGAACTCCGAGAGGCATTGCTCAATTCAATCGATTTGAAGTAGCGGCATGTTGGCCGAGATTTTAAAAAGCAACCGTTACCTTTCATTAAATCGGGCACACCCAGAAGGGACCGAGTGTCCCAACCGTGCCGCAGTCTCAACTCTATTGCGTCAAATTCAAACACCGTAAAAAAAAGTGTTCTATGTTGCTCGAAACATATCTCGTCGCAAACGGAACAAAAACCCTACCTGTGCCGGTGACCGTGCAATCTGTACGTAAACCAAAAGACAGCGTAAACCAGGAAACTGGAGGGTTTTATCACTCAGCTGGCCGCAAGTCCCACCTACTCTGGTATTGCCTTTATTTATTTATTTATTATTTTTTGCAGGAGCATTCATGTTATGCTGACGCGTTCAGGTACCGCTTCAAAACGGGAAATCGTGATTTTCAACTTTCGGAGTTTCGGAAGAGCGACAAACGCTTCTTTCGAAAGACGTATTCAATTCCTCGTGGGAATACTAATCTCACAACACAGTTGCATTCAAGACTTGAATTGCATTTTGGACATTTACATTACTTCGAAGTAACACAAAGCTCTGCTAGCATTGCTGCTATTTTGCTACCAGTCTACATTCATTTTAATTCATTTAATTGAAGTATATACAGTTTTATTACTCTGCATGAAATTGAGCGTTAATTAAACAGGCTGACGAGGGCGTAAACCATTTATCACTGGTGCTTTTTGGTCTCACCCACTGGCGTGAACGTCGCTATGATCACATAACTTAACGAGGGAGGAGAATCGGCAGCTGCGTTTGCTGAACTACATTACCCACAATCCCGTGCTATGAACTGCAACAGCTAGGGATGTTGCGATATCCTTGGCAGCCAGAGAACGCTGTGGTTGCAGAGATTGGAGCAGAGGGCTGACCAAAAGAAAAAAAAAACTCCGGCCGCTCTTTACTCATTTTTAGGGACGTGTCACGTTTGGAGCTTTATTCAAAATCGTGTGTTTGACGAGGATCTGTTCGCGAAGTAACCCCAAAAATCAATTTGATCGTCAGCTGATCTGATTAAATGGCTACCCGCGCGGATACGTGCCACCGAACGGCCGCACAGCTCGACTGAGGATGGAAATATTGGTCGAGCGAGGCTGTTTTCCAGCGCACTCGAAGCCCCTCAACGCGAGAGGATAACCGGTTAACCTTAAACACGAAATGTCATAGCGCGTGAGGAGCTAGCAGTTAGCTAGCTGCGACGAGAGATGGAAGAGAACGCCGATGTTGTCGTCGGATAAAACGAGCTAAATAGCTACAAAAAGGGAATTGGTGCGCGTTACCCGGAGGATGCTACTATAGCCTCCCCGCTGGTGTCTAATTCAATTACATAACAGCTAGGCGCAACCGTGTGCGTCGTGCCAATTTTCATTTTGCCTCCAAAAATCTATGATTTGGCGTCAGCGACACTTGATTTCCGTGTTTGGATGCTGCAAATATAGAAACAACGACAAAGCATCCCCAGTAAGCCCCAAATCTGTTATCCTGTCGTTTTTGACGCCATGAGGAAGTTTTTCGATTCCCGTCGGGAATTGGTCAGCTCCGGACCGGGTTCCGGAGGAGGTGGCAGCAGCTCCGGGTCCCGCC